CCCTGATGAGTGGATATGGACCCAAAAATATGGGCAAGGAAGATCTGGGGTACGGCAGTTGCAGTCTCTCTCGGTCGAGGCAACCTATCGAATATTGCAACCGAGAGTAAATCTGAAAGACGTGGTAGAGGCACACAAGATGAAGCATCTAAAGTGGGAGAGATATGATGTGGCCGGTTAAGTGGTTTAAGGCGAGCAGGGCCATGCCGCCGAAACTGGCCTCACTCCAATGGCAAATAGAGCATAGGTCCCTGCCGACCAACGACTGCCTGATAGATAGAACGCGCCTAGAACAAAAGGGTGTGACACTCCCATGGTGCAAGCTATGCACAACATCCTTCCCGGCTCGTAAATGGCCAGAGACCACATAGCACATGTTCTTGCAGTGCCCGACAACACTATAGTTGTGGAGGTGGTGGGACTGCATATGGAGACAATTGGACACCTCGCAACCTTGGCCATGGGACTGGAGTGCGCTCCTCTGTGAGGCGTGGGCTCCAGAGCAAGCCACCCCTTTTGAAGAAAATATGTTTAAAATAGGCCGCAAGGCGGTTATCTGGGCCATTTGGTGGAGACGATGCACACTCGAAATGGATGGGGTACGCTGGTGTCGGGCGACCGCAAACCGGTCGGCACCCGAAATAAAGGAATCGGACCATTAATTGAACGACCAGCTAAGATTTTTCGGGTACTCTTGTCGGAACTGTCGGAGAAAATTAGGGGTCCTAAGATGGACTATGAAATCCCCCGCTTCGACCATTAGTACTAACTCTTGAATGTGATGTCTTGGACAACCGCCTCTACCGCGCCTGGCGCTTACCTTTTTCGTCAGTTATGAGGCTGTCTCCGAACCAACCAACCATTGAACGAGCGAATGATAGTAAGCCTTCGCGCGACTTCCTTACACTGACCAAGCGATAAGAAAGTGAAGCCTTTAAATTTAATCAAAATTAATGATGAAATAAAAAACAAGCAATAAAATTAAAACTGATAAAAGGAAAAGAAAACAAGTGATTAATTCATTATTAAACAAAATTTATCCAATTTTACTCTCGTTGATTTTAATCTAAATTTACCTAAATATTACTTCTCGCTGATTTAAATAGGATTTTATTTAATTATTATCCTTCGCTAAATTTTACCAGATTTTACCTATCCACTACCGTTGTTGCAACCCGAGAAATATTGTGTACCAGGGTTGCCAGGCCGAACGTACGGAGGCCCCTAAGCTGACCCCCGAATGTTTCCCCGTACGGGGCCCGGACCTGAACGGGTTCGGACCCCACAAAAAAATATTTTGTTACTTAAATATTATTTTGTTTTTCTGAATTTTGTTTTGTGAGTTTTTTGTCATGTAAGGTATCTCCCACTTAATTTTGAAGCCATTCTGTTCAGTCAAAAGAACATTAAAAATCGGCAAAGATGGTGGTGTCAAAACTTGCTTGCCCACCCACTAATTTGTTTTCTTTCTCTTTTCACTTTTTGTTTTTCCTGTATTTCGGGGCATGAAAAAAATTATTATTTTTTCAAAATTTATTTGTAGATTCTCTATTATGTAAGATACACATATATAAAGTTTCATGGCCTTGTCACAGCCAAAAAAAAATGAAAAATCGCCAAAGATGGCGGTGTCAAAAACGTGCTCGCCAAAGATGGGGGTGTCAAAAACGTGCTCGAGTCCTTCGGGACATCCTTTAAAATTGGAACGATACAGAGAATGAAGATTAGCATGGCCCCTGCGCAAGGATGACACGCATAAATCGAGAAATGGTCCCAAAAAAAAAAAAAAAAAAAAAACGTGCTCGCCCWCTCAATAATTTCATTCTCGTTTAATGTTTTCTAATTATTATTATGTTATTTTATTATTATTATTTATTTTTATTAATTTTTTAGTATTTGATTTTTATTTCAAATTTGGTAAACAGTTTGGATGTAACGTTGAGGCAAATATTGTTCAATTTATTCTTCTGCTTAGTATTTGATTTTTATTTCAAATTTGGTAAAGAGTTTGGATGTAACGTTGAGGCAAATATTGTTCAATTTATTCTTCTGCATAACATTTTGTTTTTTCCAGATTTTTTGGATCTTTTTTTTCTTTTGTTTTTTTCTTTTTTTTGGTCCGCGTTCAACCGAATGGCCGAACATGTCGAGAGGGGGTGCCCAACGTTCGGGCATTCGGCCCGTCCCGAACGCCGGCCACCCTGGTGTGTACAATACCCATGAATTACGGAATTCCCATGGTGGACTGAGTGATGCGAGGGAACTCAAATGGATACTCGGTTCCAGGATTCCGGTGAGACGAGCATGGTTACACCACAGGACAGATCAGCGGGACTGGTTTTCAGGTTACGGCGGCCAGGTCAATTTGGTACGGTTATTGGTTCGGCACAGGTATGATACTGGGGCAGCATACTGCGGTCTGTTCCTTTTTTTCAGGCTCGGTCACTGGTACGAAACTGGAACAGCATACTATGGGACAGTTGACCCAATTAAATTGCGTATGGTCACTGGTTCGGCATTGGAACTGAGACTGCTACAAATCACTCTAGTTTGGTGGAATTTGTCAAAGGCTCGGCACTATTGCAGCGGCACGGCCACTGGCTCGTCACTAGTGTCGCAGCGCGGCATCGCTATGCTGGTATGGTCCCAGGCTTGGCACATATACGACTATCTGGTACGGTATTTGGTCTGGTCTGGTACTCCTCCGACTCGCGCTAGCTTGATGACATTAATTTGATTCGGCTTACCGCTGATTCGACATGACTAATTCGATATAGTTTTTGGTTCGGAACTGATATGGCTACTGGTTCGAGACTGGTGCATATTCCGGGTATGGCTACGGACTAAGGGCAGACCCTATTAAATTGACGCTGATATTTCGAAGTACGGGAATTGACGTGCCGTGGAGGCTCGGTGTGGCTAAGCCCTCGGAACCAACTAAGGGAACTGTTACTTACGGACTGCAAATGTCCCTGCTTAGAAGACCTGGTACCGAAGGTACCAGCGTTCAGCTTCGGGGCTGGCCAAGTGAAAATGTGAACTGGGCGAGCTCATGAGAACGGGACCTGCATTGCAAAGGTTATAGTAGCGGCCCGCGAGATGCAGAACACCTTCGGACTGGGCAGACGAAATTGCGTGTCAGGCGTACGAAGCGGGTAGCCATTGCTCGACGGCTGACTGGGGAGAGCGGACCCAACCTTCGCCTATCGGGGACAGTCAGACGAGAACAGCGAGAGGGAGAAGGGGGTACACGGCGTACATAGTAGGAGGTCGCAGGCAGGATCGGCCAGCACTGGCCACCTCCCTAAATTGATATGCACAGCGCTTGCAGCAGCAGTTGTCGATGGTCCCTCACTCGCATTCGGTGTACAATGTCATACCAAGTACACATTTCGGAAGGAGTGGAAGGTGAGAGGCAGTGTTCGAATCACTGGTTGGTGCCTGACATGATCACTATATTGGCAGCCATTGCCTGTTCATGCTCTTTTTGACTCTTGAACTGCAGCTAGTGTCACGTGGCCTCATTGAAGTCAAACCCGAGTGATGAACGAAACGAGCTATCCGTTACGCTGCTAGTGTACACATCGTTCTAGATACTGGATGTTAACGGCAACCACAACTCTGGGGGGCGATTGAAGGAAAAATCTTCCGCTAATTTAATCTGTTCCTGGCAGAGCCTGTCATAGAATTCTCCAAACTACAGATCTCATCGGGACAATGAACCATAAGTTTTCGTGCAAGGAGATCAGGATCAGTTCATACCTGTTCGTGAGAAGAGGCCAACGGTCGTCACGGCAGATGGATATGCCCCATTTGAGAAGTGACTGGATGCTTGGTATTGTTTTCGTCCATCCCTGAGATGAGAGAAAGAAAGTGCAACGAGGGGAATGGAAGAACGCACCATTGGGTGTGCGGCAGGGTGGTGAATTCCCACATTTTTCTGCCACAGGGTAATTCCAATGTGTCTCCTCGTGTTCTCATAGAGAAGCCATTCTCCTTCAACCGACGATGTACGAGGAGGTAACTGGTCAAGTGCTGATACGTGTACTCTCCTACGATCTCTGTTTGATCACTCTTGAGCAGTTGCATGACAGCGCGCTGATGACATGATATATGCATGTTCCCATACTCTCGGGAAAGGTATGTACTCTGCATTTGTAGACCGATTTAAGGCCCATAACTATTTCGCCAAAGTGAGAGAATGAGAGAGAGGAAGGAAGAGTGAGAGGAGAGCCAACGTTAATTTTACCATCAGCCCGTCTAGAATGTGCTTGACCGCTTGACGGGCTCGGATACTTTTGAAATGCCTTTGGCGGGGAATGCTCGGAGAACATAGTGGAAATCAGTGAGCGGAGGGTGTAGAAAGAGGGGTCAGGAGATGCGGATCATGCGGTAACAACCCCAATAGATCTTTTTTTTTTTCTTTTTTTTTTTCCAAAAAACAGCTCCATCTATTGGTGGGGAGCATCACCTGCTGGAAACCGGGTCCAGCGTCCCTTGAATACATCTTTACAATCTTTCCATTTAAAAAGACACCACTGTGCTGGAAAACGGGTCCAGCGTCCCATATTAAAAACTATAACCGCCAGCATAGCCTATTACATCAGCATAAACATCATTAGCATTATCATCCTGAGCTTTTTCATCATCATATGTGGGATGCTGAGCCCGGTTCTCAGCTGTTCTCATCAGTTTTCTTTCTGGTCAAAAAAAAAAAAAAAAAAAAAAAAAAAAAAAAAAAAAAAAAAAAAAAAAAAAAAAACTATAACCCCCTTCCTAGACTGTGGCCAGGTCAGGCAAAGGGTGGAAGGCCACTGGGGGGATCCGCTTTATGACTATTATTATAATTAGTGTTATTATCACTTGCAATTATGTACCCAACTCAGGGCGAGGCCAGGACTCAGGAGGATTCTATACGATATACCCATCAAAAAGACCTGACCCAAGACGAGAAACTTCTTTATTGCAGGAAAGGAAGATGGAAAAGTGAAGGAGAGTAACCATGGGTTTTCTATTTATTCATAATTATCCTAATTTGGATTCCAAGCACCTACCCCTAAAAATATATCGGTACACTCGAGCTTGGGCTATTCCAGCGGGACAGGAACGAGGGGCTGACAGTGTGCAAAGGGAAAGAGAGAGCGTTGCGAAAGTGTGAGTGCGCAGAGGGAAAGAGAGTGTGCAGCGAAAGGGGGAGCACTCAGAGAGAAGGAGAGCTTGAGGCACAAGTGGCAGAGAGGGACGGATGAGAGTGGAAAGGACCCAGTTGAAGCGAATCTATGAGAGAGAGGGGAGAGAGTGAGAAAGGGACAGCTCCCGAGCTAGCGAGGTTGATCGTGAGATGGGGCACGGCAGAGTTAATCAACAAAAACAAAGCCAATCAACGAAGACAATCAAGAGAGCATTCGAACCTGTCATGAACCAGACCACAGGTTTACTCAACAGTCGCAAATTGCTGGATCACAAGTCAAAATCGAGCTCAACATCGACTCACCGAGCAGACCACCGGTTTACTCAACAGTGGCAAATTGCTGATTGATCACTGGATCACAAGTCAAAACCGAGCTCAAAATGGACTGACCGAACAGATCAAATGGTTCACTCAGCAGTCGCAAATTGCTAATTGGCTACTGGATCGCAGGGCAAGACCGCCGAAATTGCCCAAAGCCAAGCAACCAAACAGATCCCGATTTTACTCATCAGTAGAAAAATTGCTGATCGGCCACGGAATCACAAGTCAGAGTCCTCCGCGAAATCTAGTAACCGGACAGATCATCAGTTCCCTCAACAGTTGAAAATTGCTGATCGTCTGCGGAACCACAGGTGCGATACAAATAACTATTTGAGAGTGAGTGACCGATCAGATTACTGGTGCACCCAACAACTAAAAATGGCTGATTGCCCGCGATATTTTTTTTTTTTTTTTTTTTTTTTTTTGAAAAGAGGAACAAAGCTCCAATCTATTCGTGGGGAGCAGCACGTGCTGGGAACCGGTTATGAAAGTGTAGTAGTGACAAGTGAGCAAAACTCAGCCACGTCACAATCCAGTACTAGACAAGAAAGTCGCCAAGTACAGATCAAAAGATCAAGTACATAGACAAACAAAGTCGCCAAGTACCGATGTATTACAAATCAACAACAACTGCTCATGCCGGTGGGTATGGCTACCCCGACCGGTTTCGACCGCCGCCACGCGGTCGTCTTCAGGGGGCTTACCACCTTCTACTTCGCCCTCAACTCAGTCCTTCGTTCCACACTCCCCCGCAGTCGTGTTCACTCCAACCATTTCCGGAAATGACGGAGTGTCTGCGACATAGGACCCGGAAAAGACCGACAAACTGACAACTATTGTTGATATAGAAATTCCAGTCCACTGACCGCTACAGGAAAACGGTCCGGAACAGCACCCCCAAGGGTTAAGGTCCCGTTACCAGCAAAAGCGACGGGTCCGGTGGCCTACCTGCGCGCCGTGTCCCTATTTCCATTCCGGATACAATTCAGAGCGAGCTATCCCCAAGAGCTGCACATACTACAAATAGCATAGCGAACCACAACACAACACACCTTGTCCTAGAAATGTATAACCCTGTGTGAGATAGCCCTATCCCTACGTCCCACGGTTAACACAACAAATGCGCCCATCGCACTCGTACAGACAACTGTGCGAGATGGTCCTGTCCCTACACATATCCCTCGTACAGACAGAAGCCTGTATGAAAAGGTCCTGTTGTTACGTACTACGTTGCACACGACAGACCACACCACACCACACTTTGCTCCTAGCTGACCAACCAGAACACGTTCAAAAACATATAACCCATTATACACCACCCTACCCGCTGTATACTTCATCTCAGTACCACACAGTGTCTCCATCCCAGTCCCGTTACACTACGAAGCACCACATCCTACCGTCCAACGAAACAGACATGTACTATGCACTCGTCATTGTGCGCTGCTCCCTCCATCCCTACTGGTATGACCCATCCCCCCGGGTTACACAGCTAACCATGTCGCAATGTATCCCCAAATTGCTTCTCTCCCCCTTGCAAAACTCTTCATGACGCGAATGAAGAACTTCTGAGGAAAGTCCATCATCCTCAGTTCCCGAGACAAGGCCAGCACCTTGTCAGGCAACTCGCTACGCACGGTCGTGTTCCTCTCGATCCGGTGTAATCGACTTGCGATGACTGCACTTTTTTGATGTTTGCTGCCCCATGAGTGGTATCCTTGCCCAATTTTAAAATCCAATCTATCTTCCGTCCACACTGTCTTTTCATTCTTCGAAAGCTGCACGCACGCGAGGAAAGGCATCACGTCCTGTTGCCGCATTTCCACCCCGAGGAAGTCCTAGTTCTTTTTTCCATTGTCCGTGCGCTTCAAGGTCAGATTGCTCGGGTAGCACTTCTTGAACTCTGCACGAATCAACTCACCACTCCCCACATCACTCTTCTTCATTGCAATGACGATGCTCACGTCATCAATAAGCCGGATTCCGAAAATACTTGACTGTTGACTTCCTTGCTCGCAGAGGAACTTGTACTCGGCGTGTGCGCACATAATGCACGCTAGTGGTGGGCTGGTGCTTTTCCCCATGGGAATGCCGACCACCTGTCTCAGGAGAACACCTGTAGCTTTAATGTATGTGTGCCGAAGATCAAATCCTACAAACCGCCTCAAGTCCTCCAGATCGATCTTCCGACAATGATAAGCGCCCGTGGTACGTCCGACAAGCTCCCGCGTCCTCTGGTGTTCACTCGTACTGACGTCTTCCCTCTCCTTCGGAAGTGATCGACAATCCAGTCAACGGCCTCCAGAATATCCGCGTGAGGTAGTTTACTGAACATATCTTTGATGTGATACGACATCGCGGATAACTGCAATTCACGTCTGGGGAGTCGTTGAATCTTCTTATTAATTTGCTCAATCCTGGGTACCAGGTCCAACACTGATTTCAAATTAAAGTGCCACTTCGTTGGTAGTGAGTAGAGTAGATGATTCAAATCCTTGGCTGCTGCTCTCGACGTTTTTACTGTCGGCTCACAATAGGATGGGCAGATAGGGCGGTATCTGTCCAAATCCTTGTGCTTCGGTTGCACGTAAGCGCATCCAAATGTTCCCTTCTTGTCAATCTTCACAAACTGCTTCAACCCCATTGCTGTCGCATCACTGCTCATCCTTTCGACAATCGCCGCTTCATTCGTCTCCATGATCTTGTAACCGGTGTTGCATACAAATGTGGTTAGCATCGCTTCGTGGTACAGCGCCGGGCAGAGCACAAGGGTCTCGCCCGGGTTCCTGTCCAGTGGGGTGCGTACCAGGCCGGTCAACTTGCTCTTCAGCTCGTTGACCTTCCCCATGTCCAGATACTTCTCACTTTGCCCAGTTGTTTCTATCATACACTGACTGGCATCCTCAATAGTCACCTCCCACTCCTTTGCCCCTAGATTTGGCCAGTTCTTGAATGCGTCCTCAATCTCGCGTCTCAACAGCAGCGCTCGGTCCGGATGTGATGTCCGTGGAATGTTCTTCGCATTACACAGCATCGGGTGTACGCCCTCCATATCATGCAGTGTGAATCGCACATGATCTCCTATCCTAGGATAGGGTAATCCTGCACAAGTGCAGGTGCAGACGTCGGCACGCGCGTACGTCCGCTGATTGTGTAACACGTTGGAAACCGTTGGATTGCTTGTCCAAACGATTCTCACCTTGCTACGTGCTCATTTCAGCATGCATGATGGCAGTCCGAATTCCCCGATCTTGTCGTTAACTACTCTCCGAACCTTCACCAGCTTCACTCGGTCGTCAAATTTTAATTTGACATTGCTGTTTGCACCCATGATCCAACCCGAAACTTCTTTGATCACTCGCCTGATTATCCTTCGTAAGTATGATCGTGTCGACTTCTTCTCGAATTCCTTGGCTGCTCGATACAATCGGAACAGCTCCTCGATTTCCCGATGCTTCAACTCCCCTAACTGCCCTGGATCACGCAATGTTTTAATCAGATCTTGTTTGTGCAGCTTACCCCGACTATGCCATCGTCGCAAATACCGTACCGTCACACATCCGCCCAACTCCAGCTTCTGCTTGCATTTCGCCAGGGTCGATGCCCCACCTTCACATGTGACAGTCGTCGACCCAAACGCCTTCCTAATTTTCTTCCAACCGTCTAACCAGCAGTTGCCCCCGGTGGATATCAACTTGAAATTACGCACACCTTGTTTCTCCAGGTCCACGAGTGTGCTGAAGATGTCCAACTTCTCATCTGTGAGCCCTTCACACATTATACCAACTGGCTTGACTCTTCTGCCTTTCCACGCCTCAACTCCACCCGTCCGTATCCTTTCCCGCTCACGTTTTCCTCTTCTCTTCGTGTTGCGGCTCTTCCTCCTCCGACGAACCCCGTTGGTGTTCAATGATGGATTCCAACGTTGTATATACAGTTGCTCGAAGGCAAGCAGTTTCTCATCGGAACAAATTTCCACCGGCAACAATACGTAAGATTCCCGTCCAAAGTCGCGCCACCAACGATATAGGTGAGTGCCCTTGCTCCTTCGATCGCATCGTGAAGTGTGTTTGCGCCATCGCACGTTCACATGCCGACTTGTCTGTCCCACGTACTGTGCCTTGCAATGAGGTGAGGCTAGCGTATACACCACGTTCGTTACCTCGATGAAGTCAATACCCACTTCAGCATACATGCGTACCCATGAGTCAATACATTTCGACAACCAATTGATATCTCCCGCCAGAGTGAGTAGCATAATCGTAAGCCTGTAAAGTTTCTCCACATGCACATCAAAGTTCTGTTCTTGACGATAGTCGATCACCCAATTGCATAAGATCCACAAATGGATAGTGTCTTCAAAGATTCACGCTTCTGCCCCTTCATCTTCGGGTTCCTCGGCACCTTCCTGCTCAATCCCCTCATTCTCATTATCGCTGCTCCTGATCTCGTCTTCTTTGCTCCCGTATGCTACGACTGCTCGCTTCTTAGCGATGTTCATGGCTGCAATAGTTTTCTTCTCGTACTCCACGCCCTCCTTCCTACAGATGTCCTTGAGTTCGTCTGCTCCCAGATCCGCAAGAGCACGGATATTTTCACAGATGAATTGTGCTCTTCCCGCTGAACCCATAGTAGTCGCGATTTTCGTACGTGGAGTCCCCCGTCGTGGGGTAAAATGCGGTGGAGTGTTCTTCTCCTTCATCTTGTGCGCAGTACATTGTAACTTCGCAGCTAGTCGCACTGGCCTCACTCCAATCGTCCTAGGTGTCCTCTTTGCCTGTTGCGCCATCCGTGGACTGTTCCCCACCGCTTTCTCCTCACTTCGTTTACGCTTCTCCGTTTTCGTCAGTTTCCGAGTGCGTCGGTTCATCTGCTCCGCGTCACTCGTGTCGCTATTGCTTGCGGATGACAAGTTCGATGGAGGCGGCGAGGCTGCTTTCTTCTTCCCTTTACGATCGATCGCTGATGCCGCTAGTGCCCGTAACATGTCGTCCGTCAGTTGTTCGCAAAAGCCTCCCGATATCTGTTCACGCAGCTCACTCGCCACAAGTGCTGCTTCCATCCTCATTTCCTTCCACATCTGCATCTTCAGTTCCTCAGCCTCTTTCAGCTTCGCACTTTTCCGCGCCAACTTCCACTCTTGTGCTTCCCTCTCCGCTGCGGCGCGCTGTTGTTTTTCAATCTTCTCTTGCTTGCGTTTCTCCGTTTCGAGCTTCTTTTGCTTCTCCTGCTCGATGTGCCCATGCATGGCTGCAAGCGAAACTCCCAGTTCTTCGATCTGCTTTTTCAGCTTCATGCGTTCAGGGGAGGTTTCGCGCGATCTGCCCTGTTGCCAACCCCTGCCTTCGCCAGGTCGTGAGCTACCTTCGCCTGATAGTTTCCAGCACTGATTACGATAGTGACCTACCTGGCCACATTCGAAGCATGTGGGCGGCGCACGTCACCGATATTCTCCCGAAGTTTCATCGCGCTCCCGTAACGCTTCACGTCGATCGTCTTGGTGGTAGTCTCTTCCCCCGCCGTGATGTCCGTCCCTCCTGTCTTCAGGCCGTCCATCCAGGCGGCTGTCCCGCCGTTCCCGATCGTTGTCACGGTAAGACATCTCGTCAATTCTTCTTGGTCCTTCGCCTTGGAAACACCGTACACTTGGATGGTCTTCTGTCGTCAGTCAGCCTGACTGATTCTTGTTCGTAGTTGCTCGCCGTGGTTATAACACGGTAGTAAACATGCTCACTCAAGCTCGGGCAAACGTATCCAAGCAGGTTCACATGCACCGTCAGAGGTTATGAAAGTGTAGTAGTGACAAGTGAGCAAAACTCAGCTACGTCACAATCCGGTACTAGACAAGAAAGTCGCCAAGTACAGATCGAAAGATAAAGTAAGTACAGATAAAAAGATCAAGTACATAAGTACAGATCAAAAGATCAAGTACATAGACAAACAAAGTCGCCAAGTACAGATGTATTACAAATCAACAACAACTGCTCGTGCCGGTGGGTATGGCTACCCCGACCGGTTTCGACCGCCGCCACACGGTCGTCTTCAGGGGGCTTACCACCTTCTACTTCGCCCTCAACTCAGTCCTTCGTTCCACACTCCCCCGCCGTCGCCGACCATTTCCGGAAATGACGGAGTGTCTGCGACGTAGGACCCGGAAAAGACCGGCAAACTGACAACTATTGTTGATATAGAAATTCCAGTCTACTGACCGCTACAGGAAAACGGTCCGGAACAGCACCCCCAAGGGTTAAGGTCCCGGTACCAGCAAAAACGACTGGTCCGGTGGCCTACCTGCGGGCCCTGTCCCTATTTCCAGCGTCCCATATGGAAATTTACATGGAAATTGGAAAATCCGAGATATCAGGGCCATTAGGATCCTGAGAAACACCCAAATTTGAATGACTACTCAGATCGCTGGTCCACTCAACAGCCCAATGCCCTGTTTGTCTGTGGATGGTTGGCTCCGCAAGATAAATAAGAGAATAGCTAATCAGACTGCTGGTTGACAACGGATACCCCAGATTTTGGGGCCTTAGATGGATCCATGATTATGCTCGGGCTGATAGCGCTGGATTGCGCCTGTCTGCTGTGCGGAAAGGCTGTCAGTTAAAGTGCACATCCTGCATTGAAGGGGGTCATGCAAACGGGAACGTTCAAGGTTGAGTGTCGGGGCTGTTTTGCCTGGGTGCACTGAACGGCGAAGCAACGTGGGTAAGTGAGAGGTAAACTCGTTGGGAGAAGTGTGAGAGAAAAGGGGGTTCTGTCTCCCTTTACAGACATGAATAGTTGGTGAAATTTTATTTATTTATTTACTTATTTTATTTTATATTTTTTTGTGGTGGCAAGTTCATCTGAAAGCGGGTGCGGATTTCCGCTGTACTTTTGGAAGCATTATGAACGGTTTTGATCATTTGAATATACGATGGTGCAATACCTCCGTTCGGTTGGATGACCCTAAAATAGTAAAACTGGAGGATCGATAACAGAGGCGAGTATTCATTGTTGAATTTAAGTTAGCCACGGTTTTAGCAGGGGGGCACTCTGATACACCACTACAGCAAATCAAGAAGACTGTTGGACAGGCCCTTCAAAATTTTCGGAAATACGTCAGTGTGAACTGGGTCTGGAAAGTCTACGCAGAAGAACCATCCCTCTGGAGAAACCACCTCCGCTTGGTGTAAAACAGAAATCTATCTTAATTACAGGCCGGGTGAGTCATTGGATGCGACACTCGTGATGGCTGCCCAGCAGGACCGTGCTGACGCTTACACCCTACTCGTTGCTGAGGACCTCGGAAGGGGGCGCAGCGGGTGACAGACGCTGTTGCCTTTGGCCTCAGGGAACGGTAGGTGACCCCTTCCCGGGTTTCCTCACACCGGGATGGAACTAAGTTCATCAACTCAATTAAGGAACAAATACAGGAGGACATCTCCATTCAATGGGAAAGATTCAAAGAAAAAATCACATACCCACACTCTAAACGAGAAATTAGACAACTCATCGAGAGGTTCTGTAAAGACTGGCTGGGCGGGGGACAGGGGGTTTGGATCGCTAAGGTAATATGGAAGGGTGGGGAGAAAGGGGGGGAAGATGTTGAGGAAGGGGAAAGGGACTACCACCTATGCTTTCAGGATTGAACCCAGGGTGACCCCTCTATCCCGCTCCGGCCCCTCTCAGACTTTCCGGATCTCTTCCGACCCCCTCCCTTAGCTCTGGTTGAAATGGAATGGTATGGGGGAGTTATGGGCTAAGGATAGAATGGAAAGAGACAGGGTTTTTTTGGAAAATAGAAGCAGAGTCGAGGCGGATTGCCCCAAGAGGACCAGAGGATAGTTTTGGGTAAGAATGGTGGATGTTTTAGCAATGATATGTAAAAATTAGGGTCGGGTTCTGAGTGAAAAAAGGGTGTGTGTCCGCACAAAGCTGACAGCTGACATCGAGTGGAACAGAGGGATTGATAGTAGGGGATGGGGTGGTGAAGTCCCTTGGGAGAGGGAGGAACTAGTCTCTCAACAGCAGGCATTTGGCGCCTGGTACAGGGCGAATAGGTTTTTCCTGTTCCCAACAACCTGCACAGTCAATCCTGTGGAGGACAGAGTAATCAATGCTGGCAGGTGTCTTCCTCAGTTATTTCCCTGTCATGTTCCTGATTCATTCTGTGTATAAGGGATGCTGGACCCGTTTTCCAGCAGGTGAGGCTCCCCACCAATAGATGGAGCCTCTCCCCGGGAGTGCTAGTGCTGCCTGCTCTTACCAGTAGCACTAGCACTGCAGGGGGTGTTGTTAAAATAATAATAATAATAATAATAATAATAATAATAATAAAACACTTTGTTTGCTTTGCCAGAGAGAAAGGGCGTGGCTCCGCTAGAACATGGAAAGATACACCGCCATATTTTTTGTCTTTTGCGCATGTGGTGAGTAGTGGAGCGAGGTGCGAACAGAACCCCTGCCATTGCCCCCTTCCCCTCCCTCCATCTTCCCCTCCTCCTCCTGCAATCACAAACCCTTTTCCTTGTCGTTTTCTTTTTCTTTTTTTTTTCTTTTAGGTCTTGGTTCTTTCTTTCTTTTTTTTTTTTTCTTTTTTTTCGTCTTTTTCTTTCCCCCCCCTTTTTTTATGGCCTCCAGGCTGGTCTGGTAGGCGTATGATAATTTGGTTAAGCTGCTTACGTGTGTGCTCAGCCCACGGTATTCTTTAGTTAAAGGCGAAAGGGAAAAAAAAAAACAAGGCGAAAGAATAGTACGCTCATTGAGTTGGCCATGCCGCCGCTGTCTTGTTTGTTTCTGACTCGCCCAGAAGATGGGAAGGAGCCAAGGTGGCAGATCTCCTTTTTTTTTTTTTTTTTTTTTGCAAGCCGTGGAAACCTGATCGAATCCATCAGAGTTCATCGAGCCCCCTTCTCCGCATAATCAAATCCCCCCACTCCTCTCAAGGCGCATGGTCCATGCAGTGCATACCTGTCTGTACAAGCATAGTGTTGTGACCATCAGTAGGTAAGGGTGTACTATATTAAATGAATCTGGCCGCATTTACAGCCAACCAGTACGCATCTGACCACAATTCTGTCCAGGAATAAAGCAAAGAATTGCTGGTGCGACTCTGTGTGAGTATGTCCTAAAGACGGTGCGCTACGTGTCGTGAAGCACAACTTCTCCTTATTTTTATTTTTATTTTATTTTTTTATTTATTATTTTTTCCCCTCCCATTTTTTTTCTGGCAGACTGTTCCCTACCACCACCATTGGAATGCAGCATCGTCACACCATGATGGCAGAGGGCATGCAACAACACTATCGAAATGTGCAAAATGAGAATGAACTTCCCCGCTAGAACATGGCCAGATGCACCTGCCACATTTTGGTCGTCTTCACATTTGGACAGTGGTGTGGCGGGGCCCAGAGTTGATATAAGATCTGCATTGCATGTGATCTTTTGGGGCCTCGCCACACTAGTCCCGACTTGGCCATTTTTGGGAGCGCAGCATCCTCACACCAGCTCCCGAGTTCAACGTGTCAGATTGATTTTTTTTTATTTTTTTTTTTTGTCAGATTGAATTCGGGAGCTGTCAGAATGTGGCTTCCGAGAGCACTCCCGAACTCAACGCCTGCAAAGCTGCCTTTTCGAGAGAAAAGAAAAGAAAAAAAGAAGGAAAAAAAAAAAGAGACCTCCGAGTTTCACCCGGGAGTGGAGCTGGAAGGGACAAGCGACTTCTGCCAGACTGCTTCACACTGAGCGTGTCCACATGTCGCAAATGGCATTTTCAGACTTGGAGCGCGGCGAAAGGCACTCCCGAGCAGGTTTTCACTTCCGGGAGCACCCCCGCAAAATTTTCGAAGTCAGGAGTGGTGTAGCGAGGCCCTTTCTTGGTGCGTTTGTTTCTTTTTTTTTCTTTTTTTTTCCTTTTTGTTTGTTTGTTTCTTTTTTCCAACAGCTGCTCTGCATGTTGTTTGGTATTTGGGATGTTGCTGGGTGGTATGTTTTTTTGTTTTGTGTTTTGCATGTTGCTTTCCAGGGGCGCGGTCCCACTAGCAAAGAGGATTGGATTGAATGCCTGAATCTGGACGTGTTTGGGGACAGGTGCAGAAAATCGAGATTGAAGTGTTTTTTTTTTCCTGAATCTCTTCTCTAAAACCATCCAGATTCAGGCTCTTAATCCAATCCTCTTTGCTGGTGGGACCTTGCCCCAGTCCGGCAGCTCCCGCTTCAGATGACACGCAAAAGGGGATTACCTGAAGGAAATGTCAGAATGCCAGATGACCTTTTGTTATG